TAAATATATATATATATATATATATATATCTCCTCATGTTCTCGTCACCTGATGTATTTTGTGTAATTTGATTCCTTTTTTAAGTCTTTCTGGCAGAGATGCCTTTACTGTCCTGATAAGAATTTTTTTTTTTTGTTTTTTTTCCCCATTACCGCTGGGGCAAATCCCAGCAGCCAATGGGCCCAGGGCAGAGTTCACCCTGAGCAGATTGTCAGTCCATGCATGAAGATTTATATTAAAAGTCTAGGTGTCCCCAACTGCTAGGTCGGGGACCAGTCCTGGTCCATAGATCATTTGGTATTTGAGTTTTTTTTTTTTTAAATTAAAAATACTCTGCATAGTATTTACAAGGCACATCAAAAAGAGTGGCTGAAAATGTGTGGAAATTCAGGGTTCATGTGTCCCTGGTCCCCAAGAATTTTCCTGGTTCAGTATCAGTGAAGTTCAGTCTAATCTGATCTCCTTTTAAAGGGACATTGTCAAGTATCTCTCAGCACGAGGCAGACGAAGACAAATGGACAACTGCTAATTGTTTGCGTTGAGACTCTGAATCGAGCTGTTGAAACTAGCTGAACTGTTAGCATCGATCAGAGTGAACGTCCACTGCTCAAGGGCAGGACGATCAGGGCAGAGCGTCTCTGGTCTGACAGTATAAACAGTAGCAGTACCGGCACCGTCCAGCAGGACGTCGCTCACGGAGCTTATTATTAAGAAAGACCATGATCCGCGAGTGCTTTTAATTTGCAGCCGTTATCCTCCGCACGACTAATCTGCTCCGTCTGCTGCCGTGACGACCCGCTCACGGAGATCAACGTTCTCCGCTCGCAAACAGAACAGAGCGAGACGACAGTTCTGCACTCGCGCTGCGACACGTCGACGGCGTGTTTGATAAATTCTCCTGTGACATTTACACATCCTTCGCCCCGGGTCAAGGAGGGAACGATGCTCTAAAATAAAATCCCACGTTCGGTCGGAGCGAGGTTTGAGTCACAGAACACTTTCTTCTGACCTTCTTAGCTGTTTTGACTCCAGCATTAGACTGTGTTAGATCACACTGAGATTAAAGAGCAAATCCTCCCAGATTGATCATCGCTGCAGTCGTCGGCAGGTTTAACGAATGCTGCTGTTGATTTGGGAGCAGAAATGAAGTGACTCCACCGCGGGACAAATATGAAAGATTGACAAAACGAAACGGTCGACTGATGAAATTAAATATACTAATGTTTTTGTCTCGTCTTGACCTATGATGAAATTAAATATACTAATGTTTTTGTTTTGGCTCGTCTTGACCTATGACCTTTGACCTAAAACCAAAACCTGCAGAAAACTTCAACCAAAAGTGAAGGTAAAAACTCAAAACCATTCTTCATCAGTGACGTTTCTGATTTTCATGATGTCATCAACGCTCGCCAAACGTCAGTTTCATTCCTTTACAGATCAAAAAAATGTATTGATTCATTAAATGAACCTGTGAAATGAATCAGATTAACTTTTAAACACACAGTGTTACACATATGCACAACTGTCCATCCCATAATTCCACTCTCCAGCAGGTTGTCATTTACACTCACTGCTACAGAGTTTTGTTTCTCGGAGCGTCGTCATGAAACACACACACACACACACACACACACACGTTGATGCCCCAGGGGTCGAGTTTCCCCACAGATCAACAACCCTTTCAATTTACATTAAGCTGCTCAGTTTACATGGGCCGCGGTGACTCCCCCCCCCCGACCCCCCGTTTCTTCTTCCTTACTGGGAGCTGGGCACTGCCTGAAGTATGTGGAGGGAAATATTTCACAGACTGGAGGAGGAGGAAGAGGAGGAGGAGGAGGAGGAAGAGGCTGATGTTACGACCAGACGTAGTTGTTACTGAAGGAAAAAACTCCAACATTTAACGTCAGTGTTTGGAGGCAGTTTGTCTGTATCCATAACATTCTGTCTGTGACCCATTTGCACCTAGAGCCGAAACACACACACACACACACACACACTCCCCCGCTCTCCCCCCCCTCCATTTCCCCCCCTCTCTCTCTCTCTCTCTCTCTCTCCTAATCTCCTCCAAAATAAGTTGTGTGTCCGTGGCCCATATCTCACACTGAA